TTCATCCCCATTTTCCATTGGTCAGGGGGTCTTCAGAATCTCCCAGCTTCATGTTGGCATTTTAATGGAACTATAGTTGAGTAAACCGAGTGGATATTGTGAGGGCCAGTCACCTGTAATTTCCAGTAGAGCCAAACTTGCAACAGGATCAGGCTGTGCTCCCCTACTATGAAGTGGGTGGGGGAAACATATTTTGCAAATGATTTCAGGTAGACCACCTCAGGGTCAAGATCAATGTGTAAGAAGGCCATGTGACCCAAAGAGCACATGTTGGTGTATCGTCAAGGAAGTGGCATTTGAGGGGTCATTGACTTCAGATAAGGTACCCCAGACAGATCATTCAAGGCTCTCCCATCACCCTCCACTCTCCCATTCCAGCCTCATCTCTGGAGCAGGAGATGGATATTCCGATCATTTTAATATGGAAACTTAGATTTAGTTTTTCCTACCTTTCTTTGCCATGCTTGAAGAATGGAATGCCATTTTTTTGTTTGTTTGTTTTTTTATAAAGGGAAGTAAGGTTTCTTTTTTTTTTTTTAAGATTTTTTTTTGGGGGGGAATGGGGGGGATGGGAACAGTGCTGGGGAATTGGGGGAAGGGGAACAGACAAGTTGCTGTCGTTTTTGTTCTTCAGTCTAGTTGTGGAGGACGTTGCTTCACTGGTCCAAGTTGGCACCATCATTGCGCTGTTCCCGGGTGAGGCAGATCAGTCGCCGGCTTCTGGACGGCCGCTCACTGCGGCTGCTGGCCGCTCACGCTGGCTGCTGGCTACACACGGCAGCCCATGGCAACCCACTGCCACAGGGGCTGCAGCCTCTGCCGTCGCCGGCGACTCACGGCTGCCCAGCTCCAGGTTGAGCTGTTGTTCAGCATCTTAGCTGTGGAGGGCAGTGTCACTGGCCCTCATATGTGGGATCCGAACCGGGGCCCTCTGGTGTCCCAAGCCAGTTCTTAACCATCGCGCCACTCGGCCGGCCTTGGAATGCCATTTTTTTCCCCACTTCCTAAAAAGGTCTGATGATTAAGGTCTCTGTGCCCTTGAGGAAAACAGAATGGGTTTTTTTTTGGTTGCTTGTGTTCTGGGCCTTATCAAAGATACCGTGAAAGAGCATGAAGGATGGTGGGGTTGGGGGGAAGAGGCTGAGTTTTTATAGAAGCAGGACTTCCTTGAGAGGGTCGGGAGGAGAGAGGACTGTGGGGCCAGGAGAATTGCGTATCTGTGGCAGGGCCCTGAGAGGAATGACCGTGATAGGAGAGGAAAGATGGAGCCCTGGAACCCAATCCCCAGCTAAGCTCACAATTCCCAGGTCCCAGGCATGTCTCAGAAACAGTCCCCTGACTCACGGACCCTGCAGAAGCAGGAGAAGAGGCACCACCACAGTGACCTGGGTGGATCGATGACCAATAAAGGCCCTACCCCAGATAACTTGCACTATAGATAGCCCCAGGGGGTGGGCGGTGGGGCCCCAGGAGCAGTAAGACTGGACTTCCCTGCCAGCTCAACAAGATGGGGACTCGGAGTCAAGACTAAGTTGATATTTAGAGAATAATGAAATGAGGCCTTTCTTGCACCCTTGGGTTTGTGAACTGAGATTTATACTTGTGACAGCTCCTGTTCCTTTCCTGTAGGAACCCGGGCGCCAGCCAGGGTCGTCTAACCTTTCTGTCAGGGTCAGACTAATTCCCATATGCTCTCCTTCATTACTTCCAGGAGCCACGCAAATGGCAGCCCCCCCCTCCCCACCCCCACAAAAGCTTCTCCCTCCTCCTCTGAAGCTTGAACTTCATTGTATCACCCATTTGACAGATGGGTATGGTGGGTGCTCTCGGCCATGCTGGGCCTTGGCTCCCCAACTTGGCCAGAAGCTTCATGAAAGTAGAGACATGCCCTTTTCTCCTAACTCTGGGCCGATTAGAGCACCTGTCCACTCGAGAGACGCACTGCAGGGCCCAGGGCTTGGCTGACCCTTTGTCACCCGCTTTCCTCACCTCATTCACACCACAGCGCTTGCTGCCACATCTGCCAACACCCTGGGCAGGCTCCTAGTCCTCTCTGTCTACAACACCCATGCTGCCTCTTGGATGACCCCCAGTTATCTAACCAGCAAGCAGGTGTTGTTGGGTGGCCTCTCCTAGGACAAGCCTTGCCTACTTCCTCCTCCGCCTGCCATAGATGGGCAGATTTTGCTGCAGCTTGAGGTTGAGAAACGAACTCATTTTGTGTCAAGAGCTTCTGATCTCTGTGTACTCCAGGACTACAGCAGATATAAACACTCGCAGCCTCTCTTCTCCAGCTAGATAAATTGTATGCTTTCAGAGCGAGACACTGCCCCAGCACACTCACAGTGTTTAAAAAAGGTGTCAGCTGCAGCCCCTGCTCTTGGCACAAGTCAGCTCTCTCTCCCCCAGCTGAAGTCCCAGATTCTGGGCCGCTGATGCTTAGGCCAGGGAGCAGGCAGCACACAGAGTTCATATCCTCAAGGGGGCCAGCCTGGGATCCTCTGGCTATAGACAAAGTGGGGCTAGCCATGAGGAATAAACTCTGGAATGCTACAGAGACTCTGATACCCTCCAAAAGTCCTGCCCAACCTTCACAGACATATTCTTTCAGTTTAAGTTTTAGATCCTATGAAAATAAGAATGCTCCTCCCTTCACCCCTGACAGGGTAATGTTTTAAATTTGATTCATTGTTTGTTATTCACACATTCACTGACATTTACTGAGCATTTACTATGTGCCAGTGTACCAGGCATCACACTACCCTGTCCACTCAAAGTTGCCTAAAATCCCATCATTAGTGCTAGTCCCATTAGTTTAAGACTTTCATGTCTATACATGTTAGCTATAGGTATAGATATTAATAGATAACATATATTATATTTATAAGATTCCCCATCCCTCACTCCTGAGTCATAGTTTAACTATTCATCTTTTTCATTCAAACAACATTTATAGGAACTCTATGATGCGCTGGCTGCTTTCCTAGACACTGGACAGAAACAAGACACAGTCCAGGCCCTGAGGAGCTCCCCATCCATGTCACAGGGAGGTGGCTTTGATGGGCCATGAGAGAGAGAGTAGGCAGACAAACCAGTGAAGGCTGTGGTGGACAGGGGAAGCGACCAGGGGATGTGTCCCCAGCTCACTGGCGATGGGACCTGCAGCAGCCTTCCCCTCTCGGGGGCTCCCCCTCTTCTTCTCCAAACAAGAAACCAGACTCTGGTTCCTGAATCCTTGAATTTCATGGACCGATAAAATATCAAAAACCCAGCTGAGGGAACCATATAGGTCACCAACTTTTTATTTCATCGAGTAAACCATTTTACAAAGGAAAGCAAGGCTAACTACCATCAACCATCCCCACTGTTTCATGAAAGAAAGGACATTTTAACCCAAAAAGCAGAAAGAACATAGCCTCAAAATGAAGACGGATCCTTCCAACCAGATTCATTTAGCTGAATGAAAAGCTCACTGCATTGTCCTTGTCCTCATGTGGCTCAGCCCAGGTGAACCTGGTGGTGACAAGAAGACCAGCAGCACTTTCCAGCACTAACGTCCTGCCATGCTATGTGTGACCCACTGAAGCCATGACCAAGCGGCCCAAGACCAACAGCACCCTCTCCAGGCCAGAGTCACAAGTCAGGCAATTTCTAAAGGCGTCTCTCAGACACTGTTGGAAGGGCACGCAGTCCACAACACTTCCTGGAGCCTCCTTTGCTCTCCAACCACTTCCCTCACCTTCTGCCTCTCCAAACTCCCTGAAAAAAAATTCCTCTCCCAACTCTAGTCTTCAGGCCTCCAGCCTAGGGGCCATGAAAGCAAATCATGAGGCACACTGGTGAGCTCACACCCAATATAACAGGGAGGCTGCTGTTTGGCCATGGTGGGTACTGTCTGTCCGGTGCTTCCCAGACCCGCTACGAGATGCTGGGGGTGCTCTCGGCAGACAGTGTTCAGCTGTCACCCTGTCTCAGCTGCAGAGCGCTGCCTTGTGCAAGATCACGCGCCTTCTTAAGGCAGCCTACACCCAGTGATCGAGGTGGAAATGTAAAGGCCTGGCCACCTTTACCCAACACAGGGCAACTCTAAAGGGCCAGAGTGACCCACGGGGTTTGTCCAAGGCTGCTGTCTGCTGCATCACAGCTCTGCTTCCTCCTTCCTTCCCCAGGTATTTACCCCTAATAAACAGCCTGCACTCTGAACTCTGAATCGGAGTCATTTCCTAGAGTTACCCAACCCGCGTGCCATCAGCTCAGCCGATCCCAGCCAGAACCAACAGCCAGCCTTTCCCCTCCACCTCCTGGTAGGGGACTTCCCATACACAAACCTCGATGAGCACACCAGAGTCTTCATGTGTCCATAGGAGGTAAAGGAATTTAGATATTTTTTTTCTCTTTTAACAAAGACTAGCCTTCAACACCATTGCCTAGTGATGGACTCAGCAGGTCAGCCTTGAGCAGCAAGGCTGACCAGTAACCCCCCTTGTCCAGGGCGGCCCCCGCCCTCTCCTTCCATGAAGCTACAAGCACGTAGTTGGAAAGCTACAAGGACACATGATTTAAGGGAGGAATAAAACATCTTAGGTTGAGTAGTTTCAAAATAGAATCCCCATAACATATACAGCGGAGGTGGTGGAATGATGGGGAGGATAAGGAATTTGTACTATTCTGGGCTCCTATGACTGGTGACGCGCTCGCAGATATCCCAGCCCTGCACTGTGCTTGCACCTGCAACTCAATGAATTCCGGCTGCCTGGGAGCAGGAGGCGCAACAACAAAGAGAGAAGGTTGTGCTGTGCTTACATCCTTACTTCTACACGGCCTATCTATGAACCCTGGCCAGCGGAGCAGGAGACAGAAACAAGCCCCGAAGCTGAGTGGATGCCGCTGCCAAAAAAGATCAAAGGCAGCGGCTCTTCGGCAAGGGACAGACGTCCACACAGAGGCTGGTGGCTTGCTCCAGAGAAGGAACAGGCCTCTGCTGTGCGGCCTGGCCAGGACTGGAGCCGGTTGTATCCAGAGCTGACTCTGGGAGGGCGGGAGTCTGCAGAGTCCCACGGTACACACACCCACGGGAGAGGGAGGGGCCCAGGAAGCAGACCCTCCCCAAAGTGCAGGGCTGGGTTCCCAGGAAACCAACCAGACCCTGAGCACGGCAAGGCCACCAATGCTGGTGAACGACAGCTCTCCTCTGCTTTAATGAGGGACACACTCTGCCCGGCCTTCAGGTTCCACACACCCACAGGTGTGCACAGGTCCAGGACTCTGCTAGCTTACATATGTCAGCCACACACAGACAGCCACTCAGAAACAGCACTGCAGCTTCTCTCAGTGGCTGACGCACATGTACACCGTCAACGACCACGAGCAGATTCCTGGGGGCAAACCCGGAGCACCCCTGCCAGCCTTTCTGGGGCTCATGGAAGAGGCAGTGAGCCCTGTCCTTGTCCTATGAGAGTGGTTCTCAAGGTGAGGTGCCTGGACCAGCAGCATTGGCATCACCTGAGAACCAGTTAGAAATGCTTTGAGTTCTGTCTTCTCTCTCCTGCAGAGGCCTGAGCAGTCTGGGGGGCTTCCTGCGGGGCAACCTCTAAGCTAAATAGACTTTATGTGCATTATCTCATTTAAAACTCACAAATACAGTAAGTCTGCCCTTAACATCATCAATAGGCTCTGCAACTTTAAGCAAAATAACGTGTAAAATTACCGTAAGGTAATGGATATAAACAAGAGTTAAGTTCCTAAGGCAATTTCATCATCAATATTATAACGAAACAACATTGAACGAAATGACATTATTCAAGGACCTGCCAAATGCTGTGAGATGTACACCTCAGTTTTCCTATTTTTTTCAGACAGGGAAGCCAAAGTTCAGAAAGATTAAGAGACTTGCCTGGAGTCACTGAGGCCGACTCACGCCTAGTCTGGCTCCCAATTGTGTGTTCCGAATTACTTTCTAGGTGTAACTCCTGGCCCGGGTTGACTGTAAACACCCCACCGAGGACTGTGCTCTGCACGCCAGCCCCCACCCCTGCCATCCGTGCTTCTCCTGGGTCTCTCCCTGCCTGGCAGCCAGTCCTAAATCTTTCCTCAAGAGACAAGGCTGGGCCATCCAAGCAGGGGTGGGACGAGGGGCGGGAGCCAAAGTCCCATCTAGTGAGCAGGCAGCACCTCTGCCAAGGCCCTCGCCCTCCCCACAAGGGAAAGAGCAGGGAAGGCAGTGGCTCCGAGGGCTGGCAGCCCTGACTGCACCCCAAAGCCTGGAGACACAGCCGGCCGCACAGCTGACCCATCAAATCCAAAGACTGCTGCTGTGCGCTTGTCTGATCCAGAACATTTCCTGAATAGTATTAGGAGGGATCTGGGTTTGAGTCCTGGCTTGTCACCAACTTACTGAGAGACCTGGACTCATCACATCCCCTCTTGGAATTTGTTTTTCCATTTCAGCTGTGAAGAGGTTACCTGATGATTTACAAAGATGTCTCCTGCTCTGAAACTGTGTCTTGGATTCTAGACTTTCACGTGACACTGGAGAAGTCTGGCCAGGGCCTGGGAATCTGAAATGCCAATGGCTCAGGACTCTGCTCTCTGCTCAGCCTGACTCATCTCTGCCTGAGACTTGAGAACGACCCCCAGCTCCCTACGTGCCTGGCTTTGCACCCACTCCTCTCTCCCCCCATATACTCACACCCCAGAGGATTTCTCCTCTAACGCCTACCGGGGGAGGACACCAGGGCCCAGGAGGAGCTGAGGAGCCAGGCTTCTTGTCCCAGACCCAGAGGCAGTCATGGGGGCCTGTGCCATTGTGATTGATGCCAACATCTCCTCTGGCCTTGAGAGCAACACCACGGGCACCACGGTCTTCTCCATGCCTGGGTGGCAGCTGGCACTGTGGGCTGCCGCATACCTGACCCTCGTGCTGGTGGCTGTGACGGGCAACGCCACGGTCATCTGGATCATCCTGGCCCATCCAAGGATGCGCACGGTCACCAACTACTTCCTCGTCAACCTGGCCCTGGCCGACCTCTGCATGGCTGCCTTCAACGCCGTCTTCAACTTCATCTACGCCAGCCACAACATCTGGTACTTCGGCCGTGCCTTCTGCTACTTCCAGAACCTCTTCCCCATCACAGCCATGTTCGTCAGCATCTACTCCATGACTGCCATCGCCGCCGACAGGCAAGAGGGGGCAGGGAGAAACTGGGGGGGGGGGGCGCTAGCTCACTTTGCCAGGACTCAGACAGGGCCAGTGACTTCCTCGCAGTCACACAGCAAGTTAAGGGTAGAACCCAGGGGATGTCCTCCCAACCTGATCATGATCCAAAACTATGCATTTGGAAGGCAGGGGGCTATGGAACCGAAGCAGGTAAGGTTAAGGTTAGACACAGGAAGAACTTTGCTCCAGATGGTTGTTCAAGGCGGTATGGAAAAAGTGACAGTGTTTTAGAGACCTTCTAGAATGTTCTTTTCTGGAGTTGATCTCTGTTGTGGTGTCTTTCTTTTACTGCAAGGAAATGGCTTATATGTTTCTTAATCCTAGATAGACCATATGAGGGGAAGATTTAACATTGCACACAGCTATCATATACTTATGAAGGGGCCAATTATTTTCTGATGCTGCTCTCAGGGGCTGCAGACTGTGACTTCTGCTGAGGGGGCCCAGGGATGGTGGAGGAATGATTGGTGAGCAGACCTGGAGTATTTTTAAAACTAGTTAGGGCAGGCATGGCCTGGTGTGGATGTAGAAGACAACTGTGGACGTGGAAGGAGTGTGGTTGAGACAGACACAAACAAACAAGGACACTGAAAACACCAGGCATGTGTGGGGGTGGGGTGGAGGCCTGGAACCCATGGAGACACAGGCTCCTTTTCAGGATGACTTAATGAGGAGAGGTTCCCCCCACAGTCTCCATCCCAACCCAACCGCCCCAGAAACCTCTCGTCCACAGCAGCTCGCTTCTCTGCTCTTAGCTGTTTTATATGGAGTTTCCCCGAAGATTTCACTTGAGAAATTTATTTCTACTGATTAAAAATGAAAAGAAAGTTTGAAAAACGTTCATCTAGGTCAATCTTCCAATTCTGCACCTAGGGAAACTGAGGCTTGAGAGATGGGAAAGACCACCTGAGGTCAGCTAGCAAGTGAGGGGCAGGGCCAGGTGCTCAGAACCCGGACACATACACGCACCCCACCACCAAAAGCACCTTACTACCCCTTGGATATTTCTGAAAGTCCAGAGTTTCTTTTCCTTCACTCAGCAAATATCTGAGTGCGTCCTCTGTTTCAGGCACTGAGGAATATGCACGAAGAGTCCTGAAATCATGGCCTCATAAAAACCTCCTTTTTAAAAGGGATGGGGGACTGTAGAGAGAGCAGGGTGGGAGCCAGGGGACCAGGCAGGAGGCTGCTGAATGGTAATCCAGGTGAGGGAGGATGGTGGCTCAGGTCAGGGTGGTAGTAGTGGAGATGTGCTCATTTCTTCATTCATTCATATGTGCAGTGCCTACTATGTACAGATATTGTCCTGGGCATGAAGGGGAAAATGGATAAAGATGCCTGCCCTGGTGAATAATAAACACATGCATAAATAATTTATATGTTGTATTTTGAGGTCATGAGTGCTATGGGAAAATACTAGGAAAAGGAAAGGAGATACGGGGTGCTAGGTGCATGTGTTAGGGTGGGGGCAGGCTGCAGTGTTAGATAGGGTGTCAGGACTGGCCTTATTGTGAGGGTGGGATTTCAGCAAAGACAGGAAGGAGGTGCGAAAGCGAGCACCCTGGGCTTTGGGGAGAGAAGGTTCCAGGCAGAAGGTGCAGCAGCAGCAAAGACCTACAGCAGGAGCATGCCTAGTGAGCTCGAGTCACCACGACAGGGTGGAAAGGCTCCCAGCTGCCCCTCACATAATGCCCTAGACCTCAAGACATGAACTTCCCTGATCAGGGCAAGTGCTGAATAAAATGGGAGGCTGCGTCCTACTGTCCTGGCCTTGTCCCAGATAGGGAGACTCAGGGGTCATCTAGGACCAAAGCCATTTCTGGTAAATTTCAAGGAAATAAATAGAAATAATCATGCTCTCAAGTCCCAAGCCCTTGCTGTCTGCAGGCACTTCTAAAACATCTCATTTCCTTTGCACACATTACTATATTAATGGCACAAATTACTATCACCCCACTTCCCTGAGGAGGAAACGGAACCCAAAGAGCTTAGGTTGTTTGCTCAAGACTCTATGGCTGGAAAATGATAGAGTCAAGACTCAAATCCAGATCAGTCTGAATCCAAAGTCCCAGGCCTGCCCCTCTACTAACAGAATAAGAAGGAAAGCTCTCCTCTCCCATCCCAACTCCTAAAACGGCAAGGTCGCTTAAGCCCCCAAGTTAACCCTCTGGTCACCTCCATCATCTATGGGGGTGCGGAGAGCTCAAGAGCCTTGAGGAAAATGGCCCACTCCTTGCGTTGAGGGGGAGAGCTGGCCCAGGGCCCAGCCATCATTATGGGAGAAGGTCAGTGTCATAGGGTGGGGAGAGAGAGGGTCAACAATCATCTAGACCAGACTTGCACAACCTGTGGGCCGAAATAGGAGGGGCCATGAACTTGGGGGGGATCACAGTTACAAATATAGGCGGTAGCACACCACAGTTTGCTGGAACTCCAGTCCAGCAGTGCCTGGGACTGTCACCAATAGAAATCACAGATACCTCTGCTGTGCAGAAATCTCAAGAGTATCACCTACGCACATCACTACCAAATTACCGTAGTTTCCAGATCTGCCGCTAGATCTTGTTGTTCAGTGGGTTGATCAACAAGTGGATATATTACTATGCGCCAAAT